CACCCCCCCGGCTCCTCTCCCCGAGGAGTTCTGCAACAAAAGCCTGGTCTGCTGGGGGGGGGTGTGCACTAGCTGCGCCCCCTCCCCCCTCAGCAGACCAGGGAGACCCGAGCAAAGCCGCACAGGCGGAGGAACCCCGTGAGCTCCAGGGCGAGAAAAGCCCCGTTCGTAAGTGCAGATCTGACGTAAGTCGGATCCGCGTAAGTCGGGGACTGCCTGTAGTCAAATCCCTTTGATAAGAGAACTGTCAAAGATAATTCAATTTTTAGGCACAGCAAGATTATTCAGTCCTTTCAATCATTACCATTCCATCTGGTAGCATAGCTGTGACCTAATCATGTTTATAACAACAGTCTCCACAAAACACACTACAGGGTTAGATGGATAACATCAAGAAACAATTGTAACCAGATTCATAAAAATGAGTGATCCTGTAGCACCTTAGAGACTAACTAAAATATATAGAATCATGAGCTTTCGTGTGTGATCATATTTTGGTTAGTCTTTAAGGTGCCACAGGACTACTTATTTTTAAAGTTACAAACTAACATGGGCCCCTTTCAGATTCATAAAAAGATAGGAACAAACTTGTCTACAATAAGCTTTGACACATGCTTTAAAGTAGTTTGAACTAATGGAAAAAAGGATTCAGGATACACTAGTTTCCAATGTTGTTCAGATAGACACTGAAAATAGCACAAAAGCTACACAAATACTTTGAAGAACTTGCCTCCTGTACTACAGAGAGCATCTCCCCTTAGATTACTAAATTGGTCTGCAGTCATAGGCTCCCTAAAGACTCTTCAATGCTATTAGATGCCCAAAGAGCAGTTGTAACAAACAATCATCTGTTACTTGCCAGAAAGTTATACCCCATCCTAACAGAGATTTGTCAGTGAATTCTATGGTTAAATATTGCTCTGCATATCTAGCAATTAAGTCAAACCCAGAAAACAGAGATTTGTCTGTGAACTCTATGGTTGAATATTGCTCTGCATATCTAGCAATTAAGTCAAACCCAGAAAAAGCTTCCTCTGGTACAAAACACATTTGCTTAACAAAGGCCCACCAGCCCAGCATTCTGCTCTCAGTCTCTACTCTGGATCATAGTCTGTCTTGGTACTCAAAGCCCTCAAAGGGACTGGTCCAAGCTACCTGCAAGATTTGGTCTTAGTTCCATGACCATATATAACAACATTCCCCCCAAAACAAAGAAATAGTGAGGAGTGAGCTTGGGAGTGAGATACATGGACCAGCTGCAGGGAATGATCTTAGATTTGATGAGAAGAATTACTATGGACCTCTCCATGAAACAAAAAAGGTAACACTAATTTCTTCAATTTACTGAGGGAAATCGTAGTTCATCACACACAAAAAAGATCTCAGATTAATTAAACTAGGAAGATAAATTATCTGGTTTTAATATACTTTGGAAGCACTACAAAACTACTATGATAATGGCCACAAGTACAAGGATAAATAGACCCTAGTTTGAATATTTAAAAAAAGAAAAAAAAATCAGAGGAAGAGGTTTGGCTCTTCCATCACCATTCACAAAATGTTTAAAAACTAATTTAAAACAGTTAATTTAATAAGGCAAATGTGTCTATTTCTTTAAGCAAAATATTTTATTAAAATGAAAATTATAAAAATAGAATCTGTCACAATTTATGCTCTAGTTATTGTGCACATTTCACTAATATTAGATAATGAAAATCCATAAAGACAGTCTTCCTTTTGTTTGTCAGACTCACTTTTAAATTGGCCGTATTTAGTTGACAGTATCTTTCATCTACATCTATTTTAAACATTTACAATCTGTTTTCAAAATTGGTTTTAAAGTCTATTGTAGAAAAGACCAACTGACATACCAGTATTACTTTATCACTGACAAATATTTTCTGATTAACTTAATGGCACAACCTTCAACAGCTTTGTTATTACTATTTACACATATAGATATCAGCTCTCTGATCTGTTTTGTTTACTTTAACTATTACAGGTTTAATGTAGACAAAAGAACACACCTTTGATTTACCAGATGTCTTAGTTTCAGAGCCAAGCAAACAGGTCTGAATTTTTATTTCTCGCAAATGTCTATAAATCACTAGATTTTAAGATTTGAGTGCATTAATTTTCATTTACTGCTTTTAGTATTTGTATTACACTAGCACCTACAGTCCCAACCAAAACTGAAGTCCCATTGTGCTAGACACCACACAAACAGGGAGAGACAGGGTACAGCTATACACTTTGAAGAAAGCCTCTGAGCACAGGCTGACAGAACTGGGTTAGTGAACTTCACTTTAATGCTCTAAAATCAGCAGTATATACAGCTCTTTAAAAGCTGCATCTCAAGCTGAAGCCCGGGTTCTGAAGCCCATTTTGATTTTCCAAAGAAACCTTGACTCCCATTATGAAAAACTATGCAACCAAGATGGGACAAATAACATGCATGAGTGTTTAATTTTGTAATACCAGTTTTGGTTTCAGTATTCATTTTGTGACTTCATGCTTCTCGTGGATGGTATAGGTTGAACCTCTCTAATCTGTCACTCTCTGGTCCAGCAACATCCGATTTCAGTTATCTAGATGTTCACTTATCATGGGCGTGGCCAAGTTTCCCACAATCCCATAAAGTTTGTTTACAGCCACCAGTCCTAGCTCTCCATGTTCTGTGCTGTTAGTTAGCTCTAATTTATCTCTAAATGTCTTCTAAGAGCCTAGCAGGCAGTGAAAGTATTGCTAGACAATATTGACCTCCTGTGATCTGGCAAATTCTCTGGTTCGACACTGGTTAGGTGCAGGATGAGAGAGGTTCAATCTGTAAATACATTAGAATCCTTAGATCCAATGGAGGCCACTTAAAACATACCGCAACGAACTTCTAAGAAGGATTTAAACAGAAAGAACCTAATAAAAAATGATTCAACTATGAAAAGTATGATTATGTAGCAATGCACAAAATGTTCCTTGAACCAAATAAGTATCTTTCAGAAAATGCAGACCTAACCGAGCAAAGCCAACAAAAAGAAAGCATTAACTATGACAGGGAAAATTAGTAGGGATAGGGGATTTTGAGGACCGAAGCCAACAAAAAAAAAGCATTAACTACGGCAGGGAAAATTAGTAGGGATAGGGGATTTTGAGGACCAAATAGTCTAGGTCACACATGGGATGTTGGTGATACTTATCCTAGACCAACTCTTTTCAGGTATTCAGCTGACATAGTGATATGACAAAAAAGGTGGTGCAGATGATAAAATAAGGTCACAAGAACCATAGTGATAGGACAAAAATGATAAAATGCAGATGATAAAATAAGGTCACAAGAACCATACAGTATGGACCCAAAATATCTGAAAGAATTTAAGAAAGAATGAAGTGACAGAGCTGCCAATAAAAATATATGTTCTCTCATTCAGTTTAGCTACAATGCTGGTACTCTGGAGAGTAGCAAATTTTTAAAAAGATAGCATGATCTTGGGAATAGGCAACCAGTAAGCTTCATTTAAGTACCAAATAAATGTAAGTGTTAATTATAAAAATCTAGAGGCGTATGATAGAAAGAGCAAACAAACCACAGTTTACTTATAAAAATCTGAGCATATTAGTGAAACATTTCTTTTAGTATGTTGATAATATAGTAGGCAAAGAAGTGACTGAAATTTGAATTTCAAAAAGCTTTTAATAGTCATTGTAGACAACTCAAAGATACTACTCAAAAAAAGCAAAATAAGTTTTAGTATATAAAATGGGATAGAAAATATTTAACTCGCATACACCATATAAATCTTAAATAATGTTCTTTAAAATAGTGACATGATTCCTCAAAGCATGAGGGTTAATCTGACAGGAATTAGTACCATATGTATTTGTGAAGGATAATAAGGATAACAAGGAAGGTATAAGCAGAATATAAAATACTATGAAAGGAACATCCTCCTTACCACATTTGACCATATAAATGGAAAAACATAAATGTTCATTTAAGAGAATCTGATTAACACTGACAACCTGGAATTCAAGAAGAGCTTTATATAAAAAATTATGACTTTGAACACATTAGCAGTTAGTGTGTATAATATATATAACCTGAAAAAAACCTTTTAGGAGACAACACAGTGCAGATATAATCATTTCTTTTCGGCTTTCAATCACATACACATTTTCTGAACATCATTATTAGAAAAATAATCCATTACATGCAAACAAATGGACTAATCAGATGATGTTAATGAGTGAAATCTGTACTAAGGACCATTTGTAATAGGCAACAGACTTTCATCACTCAATTATTTCTTCCCACTAACACTGTTTACAATATAGTTTTGTTCTACTTTTCTTTAGAAGTCACCTCCTCTTAACCTAAGAACATGTGCTGATACTTTTGGTGGCATCTTTATGTATTTAACCAGCACATTTCATTTGCAATCACAGTCTGGGTTTTACTTTTTAAATTCTGAGCTTGAAAGTTTTTTTTAAAAAATCAATTTTATTGCAATACATCATTTTCTTAAAATATTAACTAAAACAAAAGTTTAGATATGGTTCATATTTTCTTATACTGCTGCTTATGTCATCAAAACTAGGGATGTGAAAGGTTAACAGGTTCCAGTGCTCCAGACTGGAGCAGTGCCCCACCTGCTGTGGGTAATGGGCTCCTTCATCCCTATGGGGCCCACTGCAGACAGAGGATGCTCCAATCATCTGGGCCAACCCTGGTCTGCGGTTGGCTGGGGGGGTGGTATAATGGCAGGCAGCAGGCCACTTAATCTCTGCCATGGGGGAAGGGGGAAGAGGAGGGACTTAATTGGTTAGCTAGTAAAATGTGAAGTAAACTTCACATTAAACCAGTTAGCCAATTACACAGGATTTTACACCCCCTAATCATAATCAGAACTTCAAAAATCCACTTACATATTGCAAATAGGAAACTTCTTCTTTTCTGCTGAGTGGAGTGAACATACCCCATCACAGTCTGCAGAATCTAATTAACTGAACATTTAGTGATAATTACAAAAACAACTTTCCATGTGATACAGACTAATAGTTAATTGTTTTCCTGACACTGATATTCTACTGCTTATGCCACTGTTCAGGGACCTGCCAAGCAGCTGAGTAAAACTAAAACTCTGGTCACTTTCACTACCATCTCCATTCACAAGTTTGTGGGCAGCAATGAAACTGTGAAGAACTGTGGTAGCTCTCTCAAGTATCTGAATAAAATGAAAATGATTCTTGGCAGGAACAGCCCATGTGGCTTACAAGTCATTAGTTTAACTCTTGTTACTACTTGGGAAAGCTGTGAGCAGCAGTATTAAGCACTGATTCTATTCATAGTGAACAAACACCCAAAAATGAAAGCTAGTGAGTATATGCTATTCTGGTCTTCTCCAAAATCAGGAGGCTCAGATCCGGGAGAAAGAGAGAGAAAGCTTTTCCATCCAACAGCCACAGAAGGTAAGACACAACAACCAGAAGAGGGTGCAATGGCATATTTTAAAATGTACACACCTATTACATCAGAAACTGATGCAAAAGATGAAGCCACAAAACAAGACCAGGAGCAGGAGCAGATAGGAATCCCAGTATCTTCCTTTTTACATCAGCTAGGTGATAGGCTTTTTAGTGCCAAGAGAATGGAACTCACCGCCCATCCCTAACCTTATATACAGCATCAACCTCTGGTTTACAGGTACTTAGTATTTTGTTTCTGTAAGAAACAGGGAAGTAATCTGCACAACCATGCTGCAAAAGTCTCTTTTCACAGGTATGGAAACTGAAGCACTTAAGTGACTCACCCGCAGTAGCACAAGAGAACATGGGCAGGAACTGACAACTCCTGCCTCCTTCACCACAAAAGTAGCCTTCCCATTTGCAATGCAAACTAGTAAGAAATGCCATAAATAATCTTACTCATGTTTTTTTAAAAATGACTTCTGCAGTACTTTTAGAAAAATCAATGTTAGGATCATAGACCTGAGGGAGGGCTCTGTGTTATGTGAAAGCTTGACTTTCTCACCAACAGTTGTTGGCCACATTACAAGTTATCTTACCCACCCTAGCTCTCTATAATCCTAAATTCTACAACATTAAACTAAATGGTCTGTCATCTACCAGATGACTGCCTTCTCTCCTCCTGCGTCCTCCAGGGATCTTACCTTGTATGACGTGCTCTGGGGAAATGGTTTTCTTCTCAGACTTGTTACAGATCTCATTGGCCTCCGAGGAGATGAGGTGGATGAATTCAGTGCAGCAGTTCACCACCAGCTCCCGGGCATCATTAGCCACCCGGACGTTGGGGAGAGTCTCTTTGATCATCTTGTTAATAGCAGCTCTAGGGATGGTGAGGTCGTCGTCGTTTCCCGAGGACGAGGCCATTGTATTTCAGTTCACACTCACTCTCCGAGCCCCTTTGAACTCACTTTTCAGATGCAAAGCAGGGCACGCGCTCTCCCGGCGGGGACCCGCCGCTCAGGGAGCCCCGGGGC